ATAAGTAGATGTTAAAGGATACCTTTATTTTTATAATTTATTATAATTTAAATGGCTGTGACTTGGAACTCACAAGAGAAATGAGTATAATAACGTAAAATAATTATTTACGCAGTGATTTGAAACTCACAAGGAAAAAATGAGTATAAAATAAATATCAATGTTTATGATTACTGATAATTATATCTCCTGTTATTCTTTCAGGGATACATAATGCATCATAAATCTTTTGTATTTCTTTATGGAATATAAGTAGATGTTAAAGGATACCTTTATTTTTATAATTTATTATAATTTAAATGGCTGTGACTTGGAACTCACAAGAAGTAATTGAGTTATATAATTAATGGAAAAGATATAATAATTAACATCTGATTCATATGAATTTGGTTAATTATTAATATCAAGAATAATTAATTATCAAATGGGCCTTTTGTAATTTATATATTTATAAAAAAAATATACATATTGGTAAGTGATATACATTTTCTTCCACAATGATATATTTCCCATTTTCTTGATTTTTTGGTTATTAAAATCAAAACAAAAATACATCAACAAAAAAAACAAAAATCAAATAAATTACCAGAATTTATTTAGTAATAGAGAATAGAGTATACACCATTAACTGGATTAATATTTATGTATAGTAAGAGCAAAATTTTTATAATTAATAGTAATAACCATAAAATTTCAATTTAATTCATAATCCATTCAACAAAACAAAACAATTTAATAATTATAATAAATGTAGAAAATGAACCTCATCAAGATTTTATTGATGAGGAATCAAATACAAATTGTGAAATTGAAATGGGAATGTAATTGATGTTATAATAATAAGTAATACATTGTGTTTTAAGGATACTGGCTGCAACTTTTGATGATGGTTGCAACCACATTTATGTAACAGTTCTTTTTTTTTGTTAATTGCGAATATGTAATGTGGCACAGTAATACAAAATTTATTTCGCGTAACGCGTTAAATTAAAATGAAACATTACAACTTTATTTATACATATTATCGTCATATTACTTATTATTTATATTACTACTTATTATTTGTATTACTTATATTATTATTATTTATATTATTTTCTTATGTATATGAGTTACAAATTAAGTGCTGCGGCTTTCTGGGAAGTTCTAAGATTTTATTTTTATTTATTTAATTGTAATATTATATTATGCATTTTTGTATAAAAAGATAAGCTTTCCGTAATTAATAAAGAATAACTTGTATAACTTGTATTTTTTTAATAATTAAAACCATTATATAGTATTTTGATGTAAGGAAAAAGGGTTTTCTTACAATTTACAACCATTTTGTATCCTTTTTTGGATTGTGACATGGAACACTAGTGTGTTTCAAAAAAAATGGTGGGTTTGTAGAATATTGTTTTTAATGAAAAAGTAGCCAAAATTATGTAATAAAATTATCCCAGAGAATTGGAAGGGCTTAGATTATAATATAAAAAAGTTTGGAAGTATATTGTTATGTAGGCTTTAGAGCAATTATTAAAGAAATTTATACATTTGAATGGTTTTTTCAAATTCTAGAAAATCTGGTTGTGTGAAACTTTATATATACATAATCTCCAGAACTTTTGCTACAGACTGGTATAATTTTTTGTATAATTATTATGTATATGCTTGTGTCAGAGCTATCATTAAAATTCCATGTTAAAATTTCAGGGACAAAAATTTAGCAAAGTTCTAAAAAGAATATATGAATTAGCTTTACAGAAAATTGGCAATAGCATTTCATGTTTGTTTTTTATTATTTAATAAAGTAAATGACAAAGCTTTCAAATGATTTCAATTTTATTCAACTATGTTGTATAATTGTTGAGATATGTGATATTTTTGTGACTTCCATTTTTTTTGAAACACATTGTAGGAACATAATTAGTGCTAAATCAGAAAAATAACTATTTCCATGCCATGATAATTATCATTTGTTCATATTATTTTATCAAATACATGTGCACCTTTATAAAATATTATTTTTTTATCTTATCACCAACTTGTAATTCATATAAAAAAACTAATTTTTGTTTTAAATTTTTAAAACCTAATTCATAAAAATTATTTTCAATATATTGTGATAAAAGCAAATTATCTATTTTTTCATAACTTATTTGAATATATTTGCTAAAAAAGTTTGTTTCCCCTGCTTCTATTTTTTCTTTCTGTGGTTCTAAAAAGCTTCTTTTACTTACCTAAAAATATTAATCAGTGAGATTGTATAGCATCACAAAATAATGCTTTCTTAAAATTGCATTCTACTCAGAGAAAATAAAATTTTATCAGAGCACCTCCTGTTAAATACTCTAAAACTCAACAACAAATTATAAAAAACTATATCAATATATATTACTTTGATTCATTTCATTTTTTTTGTTTGAAAATTTATAAATTTTTTACATAATATTTATGTAAAAATTCATGTTTCAGTAGTATATCCATTAATTGCACCAAAAATCTTAATCATTGAGCTTGTGTGCATCATCCAAATATGTAGTTTGGGTAAATTCAAGTTAGAAGGTGAATATTCTGTAAATAATTCTAAAAATCTAATGGCTCAAGTTTTTTATATTCCTTAGTATTTGATATTGTAGTTACTGTTTAATTATAAGTAACATTTATTGACATATACAAAAATTTCCTAATTATACCTCAAATAATTCTATATCAGTCAGACAGGATTTCACACTTACTGATTTTACTATATGATCGACACATCACGTTTTTCGTACAACAGACTTTAAAGGAAGAATTGAATGCAAGATTATTAACAAACAATTTTTACACTTTTAAATAAATACAATCTCGTACTTTTGCTCTTTTAAACACAATCTTTTATTTGTCAGTAACTTTTTTTGTTGTCCGGCAATGGCCTTTCAAAAAGACCCATACTTTTTAGCTTCGAAGACCTAATTCTTTATGAAAAACAACGTTATAACAATCACTTTAGTGTGATAAGATAGAGTATATTGAGGGCTTTCAGAAAATATATGGTTCGTTTGGTTTTTACAGAAGAGGAAGAAACTAGAAGCAAAAAAAGTTTTTATAAGTTATTTATGACCTTTTTATATATTAATGTAATTTTATTTATTTTTTCTTTTCACATTATTATATCGTATATAACTATTTTAGATGTACATCGAAGAAACAATTAAAAATAAAAAACGTTTTATAAGTTAATATAATTTTTATTTTTGTTTTCTTTTCACATTATTATACCAATATTCTCTAACTTTAGTAGATGTCCATGAATTATTTATTTCAATAGATTTTCTAATGATTTGTTTGCTACATCCTTTGGTAAATCTGTAGGATGACTAAATGCTTTTTGAAGCATTTCGAGTTCCTTATCTGTTTTTTTGACTTTTATGTGGAGTGGTTTCAACTTGTAATATTTCATTAACTGGCACAACTGTTATATCTTCAACTAGAACAGGTATACTGTCTCTAATTTCTGTTTCATCATTTTGTTTTGTTAATTTCTTTAACAAATTCATTATGTTCTTTAACTTTTACAAAAGCAACATCTTTACTTTGTCTACCAACAGTGGAACATGGTAATGTTTTATAAACTTCTTGATATAATAATTCATTAAGGGATTTTAAGCCCTTTTCATCATATTATTAAAACCATTGTCATTCATTTCCTTTGTATTTTTAAAAAAAAAACATGTTTTGTAGGATCCGGAAGATTAAATGCATTGGTTAATTCATCAACAACAGACCATAGAATATCCCTTCATTGTACTTTTGCTTGCTCTCCTTTGTGAATGGTATTTTTTTAATAAATTCTGAGACAAGTGATTCCCATGGATTTAATGATGATTTTTACGATCACAAAGATAAATTATAATAGATCTTTATTTATTAATAATTATTAAATGAAATTACAATAATTTAACAATTTTCTATTTTGTAGGAATATTATAAAACATCTATTTATATTAATTCTAAAATACGTTTTCTCATCAAAAACAGCTTCATCGAACAACTAAATAATATTTATATCTGTCAAAGAAAGAACTTGTTTTTACAAACAGTCTTTTAATTAGTAAATGTGCATCTGCTTCATATTTCACAAATTAACCGAGTTTGGACAAGTGAAACATTCTATATTAATACTGACAAAAAAAACAATTATAATTGTTGAAAGATTCATAATTATGCATTGTAAATTCATAATTATGCCCTTTTAAGCAACCTTTATCAAAATACCCCATTAGAATATAAAAGAAAGATTTTACTAAATAAATTATATATCTGTTATTATGTGTATGTGTTTTATTAATGTATATGGTTTATAATTCTCATTCCCAAAAAAAATTGGCCTGTTAAATTTTATTCTTTTTATTCTTAATCCTAATCTAAATTAAAAAAAATGATTATATTTTTCTTTATTGTTTTCACGAATTCTATCCAACATTTTTCTTTAGCTCCAGGATTCCATATATCATAGATATAATGATCAGGTGCTAACTCTTTCACCTCTTCTATCTCATTCAAATCTTGTATAGTTAGAGACAGGTAATATTGTTCAAGTTTTCATAGAAATAAATGTTATTCTCACATACTTTATCCATATGAGTCCTCAATCCAAAAAATTACACCCTATTTGTACAAAACCTTTTTTCCCTTGCTGCTAGATATGTTAAAATTGCTTGATCTTGTCGATGGTTTGTTCTGTTGCTACCTTCTGGTGCTATACATTGTTTTATTCGGGCACACTTTATCCAATTATTCATTAAATGTCTTACCTTATTTGAATCAAATGCTATTGATAGAATCTATGGAATGTTGTCAAAAAGTATTATCCTTTCAATGCTGAAAAATAAAATGTGCCTCCTTTTTCAGTTGTTGTGCAGTGAAAAACTTAGCCGTATGTCATCAATAATGCTGTGAATGATTTTAGTAACCATATCAATCATTGGATGATTTGTCTCCATCCAATAAAAGACATCAGAAAAAAAATTTAAAGGTGCACACTTATAATTTCTTCAATCAAACTGAAGAAAAAGATCACTCCAGTAATGCATACAAGATTCCTTATAAGCCAGTTAAGTAAAAAATCATAGATTTTCTTTACCTTTTCATTATGAATCTCTTGATTATTTTCTGATAAATAAAGATTAAAAAAGTTCACATATAAATTTTTTATAAATTAAAATATTAAAAAAAACTACCTGAAAATTTATTTGAATTATTATTTACTTCATGTAAAGCAGTATCTAGATGCTTTTTTATTGTCTTTAATATATAATTTACTTATAATGAAACAAAATCATGGAAATCATGGAAACCACAAAAGTTGTGGGAATCATGGAAGTTGTGGAGGTCATGGAATTCATGGAAGTCGTGAAAGTCATGAAGTTATAGCAGTTGGTAGAGGTTGTGATAAAAGTCATGAAAATAATGAAGATACCAATTCTGTTTAAGATGACCATGCTTCATTTTTCTCAGAAATGATTTTACAAGGTCGATGTGAAAAGAATGTAAAAAATCTTAGTTGAAATGAATAGAAAAAAGGTTTAAAAATTTAAAGTTATATTAAACTTTAAATGTGATGTTAATCGATATTTAAAGTTGTACAACCCAATTTAAAAGTAGTACAATAGAATATAGCAAATCAACGGATAGTAGAGACCAGTTTTGGGAACACAAAATTAACAGGAGGGAACACAAAATTTTAACCCATGCTATTTGTTGATTGACAAATTAAAATCGCGAATTTGATAAATGTAGAAATAAATATGGGTTTGATTCATTTTGTCAACAATCACTTCACCAACA